GGAGTGCAGGGGTGATCCTGTCGAGTAAGACTAAGCCAGGGGTGTCCCTAATAGTTTAAGTCATGCATCAAGTCATATCATCATCACTGTGTTCCTTGTTATTCGAAACAGCTTTAACAGGTGAAAACTAAACAGTTAGTAACGTGTGGTGTCCCGTACGTTAAGTACAGGTATTGATGTGGGTATAGCCATATGGGTTATCACTTCATGTTCTTTTGTTAGATTCACTCCTCAGCTTTTGCTGAGCGTGTAGTTGTTTTTGCTACACGCAGGTAGACATGACGGAGCAGGTGCCAACCCTGGAGAGCGGTGACGATGGGGAGATGGGCGACGCATGGACGAACTCTTAATTACTTTCAATAACTTCATTAATCAATTGGGCATGAACCCACCCTTGTCGTTATTTAGTTTGGACTGAACTTATTTAATTACTTCCGCAAGTACTCTGCACTTTCATTACACACGTTTTGGGAGTAACTCCCTGGCATTTATTCCTCTAATTAAAACCCAACCGTTTTCTTATTAAATAATCATTAACGTTTTCGTAACGGATGGTTCTCGGACTGTCCATGTAACCCTACCGGTCCGTTGGGTCGCGGGTGAACCGGGTCCACGGAGGGCGGGTGTTACATTATTTCATTCTTTCCTTAAACAATTGCAAATTTACAATTTTATACTTTAAAAATTTTAAAAAAAGCAAAAAAAATAGGGGGGGGCCGAACCCGGCCGGTTCGGTACCAGAACCGCCGGTCCGGGAACCGGAACCGGTACCGGCCGGCACGGTGACGGTTCCAGTTACATGGGGTGGCGGTTCCGGAACCGTCCCGGAACCGTACCGTGTCCACCCCTATGCGTCAAAATGGTTATCACATTGAAACCATGACAGAAAATCAAAAGGAATACTTGTGTCTAACGACAACCAAATCTGGCAATAAAATTCTTTGTGAAAAGATGTCAGCGTATTCCTCGGGGCTATATTATACTCACATTAGTCCCGTTGAAGTGAATGTTGTCTCTAAAAAATTAGATGACCAGAAAACATTCATTTTGTGGCATGACCGTTTGGGTCATCCTGGTAGTGTAATGATGCACAAAATAATTCAAAATTCACTAGGACATCCATTGAAAAATATAAGGATTCCAAGATCAATTGATTTTACATTTGTTGCCTGCTCTCTTGGAAAGATGATTGTCAGGCCATCTCTAAATAAAATTGGAGTTGAATCTCCTGCATTTTTAGAAAGAATTCAAGGAGATATTTGTGGGCCAATTGCCCCAGCATGTGGACCATTTCGTTATTTTATGGTGTTGATTGACGCATCAACACGTTGGTCACATGTTAGTCTTTTATCTACAAGAAATTTTGCATTTGCAAAACTCCTAGCTCAAATCATACGTTTGAGAGCTCAATTTCCGGATTATTTAATAAAGAAAATCCGACTTGATAATGCAGGAGAATTTACATCTCAATCATTTAATGACTATTGCATGCCTATTGGGATTGATGTGGAGCATCCAGTTGCTCATGTGCACACTCAAAATGGTCTTTCTGAGTCTTTAATAAAGCGATTACTATTAATTGCTAGACCATTATTGATGAAATCCAGTTTACCTGCATCTGTTTGGGGACATGCTGTATTGCATGCTGCAAATTTAATTCGGCTAAGGCCTACTGCAAATCATATTTTTCCCCATTGCAAATGGTAACTGGAAAAGAACCAAATATTTCTCACATAAAAATATTTGGATGTGCCGTATATGTACCAATTGCTCCACCACATCGTACAAAAATGGGCCCTCAAAGAAGGCTGGGAATTTATGTTGGCTTTGATTCTCCCTCAATTATAAAATATCTTGAGCCAATTACTGGTGATTTATTCACAGCTCGGTTTGCTGACTTTCATTTCGATGAGACTGTATTCCCATCCTTAGGGGGAGAAAATGAGAAAAAGGACCCATGTACGAAAGAGATTACATGGAATGCAATAGGATTATCTTTTCTTGATGCAAGAACAAATGCATGCGAACAAGAAGTGCAAAAGATAATTCATTTACAAAATGTTGCAAATCAATTGCCTGACGCATTCACGGATTCAAAGAAAGTAACAAAGTCACATATTCCTGCTATGAATGCTCCTGCCAGAGTTGAAATTCCTTCAGAGGAAAATGAAAAAACTCTTGTAAATGAGTCTTCAATACGCAAAAAGCGTGGCAGACCACTTGGTTCAAAAGATGTAAAACCAAGAAAACTTAAAAGGCAAGAGACAATATTTGAAACAAAAGATGTTCATTCTTCAAGGAAAGAAAATGAACAAACCGAACATGTTGATATAAAAAATAATATCAACGAACAATTTGTTTCAAATGAGGATTTAACAATCTCTGAAGATGCGAATAATTCAGATGAAGATAGAAACATTGATAATTATGAAATCTCAATAAATTACGTTTCTACGGGATTGCAATGGAACAGAAAAGATGTTCATGTTGATGATATATTTGCATATGCTATTGCCACAAACATCATGGATGAAAATGATGACATTGAGCCAACTTCAGTTGATGAATGTCGACGTAGACATGATTGGCCAAAATGGAACGAAGCAATTCAGGCAGAATTGAAATCATTTGAAAAACGAAGTGTTTTTGGGCCTATAGTTCCTACGCCAAAAGGCGTGAAACCAGTTGGTTTCAAATATGTTTTTGTGCGCAAGCACTATGAGAAAAATGAAATTGTGAGACATAAAGATCGACTCGTTGCCCAAGGTTTTTTTTCAAATCTTGGGGATAGATTATGAAGAAACTTATTCCCAAGTAGTTGATGCAACTACGTTGAGATTTTTGATAGGCATGTCTGTCTTTGAAAAACTTCAAATGCGTTTAATGGATGTAGTGACAACATATTTATATGGATCTCTCGATACTGAAATATATATGAAAGTTCCTGGAGGCTTAAAATTGCCCGAGGTTTATAGTTCAAAACCTCGAGAGATGTTTTCCATAAAATTGGAAAAGTCACTATATGGACTAAAACAATCTGGCAGAATGTGGTATAATCGTCTCAGTGAATATCTGCTCAGAGAAGGATACAAAAATGATCCAATTAGTCCATGTGTTTTCATCCGTAGATCTAAATCAGGCTTTGCCATTATTGTAGTATATGTTGATGATTTAAACATCATTGGAACTTCTGATGAAATAGAAAATACTGCAAAATATCTCATGAAAGAATTTGAGATGAAAGTGTAAGAATGAAGGCCCAACGCTAGAGGGGGGGTGAATAGCGTTTAAAACAAAATCGCAGGAAATTAAAATGAGAGCGTTAAAGTAAAGAGCGTAAGGAAGGAACACACCGGATTTTATCCTGGTTCACCACAACGTGTGGCTAATCCAGCCCTCCGAGAGACTCTCTCGAGCTACACTAACTTCGTTAAGCTTAAGGGTGCTTAACAAACCGATACAACTTGAGAACCCGAGTCACACGAGCCTCAACACCTTTGCTCGGAGATACCGCACTCCAAGACTTCTCACGAAGGAACAAGTAATTTCCTTCGAGTTTACAACAAGGGAACAACCTCCCTTAAAGTGTATGAAAAACACTTAAACACTCAGGAATAAAACTCTCACAAGAGTAGATATGAGTGAACTAGTAAACGCTCAAGAACACGGCAATTTCTTCAAGAATTGGCTCTCAAATAGCTAAGAAAAATGGGAATGTTTATGCAATGAAAGAGTATTGAAATGTTGAAGAATTGTGTGTTAAAAGAGAGGATTTGGGTGCCATTTATAGCCCAAAATGGGATAAACCCGTTGCTAGAATTTCCAACAGGATGAAGACAAATTTTTTAGGGACACAGGCTGATAGTCGATTGTCAAACCATGATAATCGATTATCCAAAGATTCCCTGTCCAAAAATTTAAAATTCTATCCGTTGGAGGACAACGGTAACCCAGATAATCGATTGTCAACAAGTGATAATCGATTATTGGTCCTCTCTGAAGATTCTGGGTTTTGGCTGCAAGGCTGATAATCGATTATTGCAAATCTGATAATCGATTATTGCGTGCTTCAGAACTTGGAAGTTCAAAGCTGCAGTGGCT